TTTGCATTTTAATTTAGTGAGAAGCCAACCAGAGAGTCATTGAACAAATGAAAACTGCCAGAATTGAATACATGACCTTTACCTGTTTTCTCTCAAAATTAAGAAAGTCTCCAAGGACCTGTTTCTTAAATGCAAAGGCGTCAACCTCCAAAGCAGAAAGAATTGGCCGTGGGATAAACTAGCTGTTAGTCATAGTTTCATACTAGGAAAGAGCGTTCATTGTCACATGATGTATGTCGTTTGCCAATTGTAGCAGCGCAGTCAACGAGAATCATCAGAATACGACAGGGCTAGTTTCTAAAATATGAATATGAGAAAAGTTTTACATAATCTCCAACAGCTTCTCCAAAAGTTCTCCAAAATGGGAAGGCCAAAAAGTCATATTTTTTCAAATTCTTTTTTACACCAACTCCAAACAGCTTCCCCATTTTTGAAAGAATCCCTTTTTTCCTCCAAAAATTGCATGAGTAATGCTGCAGATTTGGGGAAGCTTCCCTAGTTTTTTCTCCTCCATCCCTATTTTGGGGAATGAGATGCGGGAATCTGTTGGAACAAAAACTAACTAAAATTCTCCAAAAGTCTGGGAAATGGGGAAGCCTGTTGGAGATGCTCAGGCTTCTCCAAAAATTTCTTCAAAATGGAAAGTAAAAGTCCATATTTCTGCCAAATTATTTTGCCCAACTCAACAACGTTCCCCATTTGAGAATCCTGCATTTATATACAATAATAAAAATATTCTACATCCCTATCTGATGCTCTTATGATTGAACTGTCCCATGACTTTTTTTGTAATTGCGGATTTTGTTTTTATTTATTTTTCTCCTCATCCCGTTTTGAAGAATGTGCTGCATTTATAGACAAAGCCTCTGCCAAAATTTGCCAGAATGCTGCAGATTAGGAAGCTCCCTTTTTCCTCATCCATCCTATTTTGGAAATGGGATGTGGAATCATGTTGGACACAAAAAAAGCCCAAATGTCTCCAAAAAGCTGAAAATACCAATAAAATGGGGAAGGTCGCTGTTACCAATTGCCACTAATCACTAATTTTAAGCAAATGGAGTTTGGGGTTTGCATGATAAAGAAACAAAGAGCGAGAAATCTGGATTTAAAATAAGCACATCATTTGCAAATTCTAAGCTCCAAACTCCAACAAAATAACAAGAAATTATGGGATTGACATTGATGAATAACAGATACCTAAGAACTGAATCTTTCATCTCCTAAGATCAATCCTCTATCAAGTGCAGACTTGTGCAATTTGCAAAATAATGATAATCATAAATCAACAGGGACGACTTTTCAAAAATGAGAAGTCTTCTTCTGGCTTCTATATGAGTGAAGAGGAACAGTATACCAACAGCTATGTTTTTATGAGTTCAGATGTCAATAATCAAGGCTAAGCAAAAACGAAACCATGTCTGAAAATAAGCCGTTAGTTAAAACGAAACATCAGACAGGCCAATAAATATAGGACAAAAAATGAGAGTATTTCCAAGAAGTTAGAGATTAACTCAGACTGAATGAACTGCAGGGAAATTTATTTGGGTAGACTGGGGACCA